CCCCCCCACTTCTTCTTGGGTTTAACTTCACTCCTGGTTCTTCATCCCCTCCCTGAGAGCGTGAGATGGGGAATGGAGGTTGTGGTTGGTTCATCACACATTGTCTCTGCCATCCCTTTCTCCTCAGGGGGAGGACTCCTCACACTCTTCCCCTGCTGCAGCGTGGGCTCCCTCCCATGGGAGACAGTCCTCCATGAACTTCTCCAACGTGAGTCCTGCCCATGAGCTGCAGCTCTTCACGCACTGCCCCAGCGTGGGTCCCTCCCAGGGGGTGCAGCCCTTCAGGCACAGGCTGCTCCAGCGTGGGTCCCCCACGGGGTCACAGCTCCTGCCAGCAAACCTGCTCCAGCGTGGGCTCCTCTCCCCACGGGGCCACAGGTCCTGCCAGGAGCCTGCTCCAGCGTGGGCTCCCCACGGGGTCACAGCCTCCTTCGGGCACCCACCTGCTCCGGTGTGGGCTCCTCCCCGGGCTGCAGGTGGGTCTCTGCTCCCCCGTGGAGCTCCATGGGTGCCGGGCACAGCTGCCTCCCCATGGGCTGCCCCACGGGCTGCAGGGGAACCTCTGCTCTGGGCCTGGAGCACCTCCTGCCCCTCCTCCTGCACTGACATGGGGGCTGCAGGGGTGTTCCTCTCACATATTCTCACTTCTCTCTTCTGGATGTTGTTGTACAACAATTTTTTTCTCCCCTTCTTAAATATGTTATCCCAGAGGTGCTACCACAGTCACTGATGGGCTCAGCCTTGGCCAGTAGTGGGTCCATCTTGGAGCCGGCTGGCATTGGCTCTATCGGACATAGAGGAAGCTTCTAGCAGCTTCTTGCAGAGGCTACAGCTCTAGCCTCACCCTACCAAAACTTTGCCATGCAAATCCAATACAATGACTAATTTTCATTATGTTCTGTATTTCCTGTCTGGTTTTGTTTTTGTATCTTGTTTTCAATTTAAGTAGTAATTTTTGTCAGGTTAACCATAATTCCGCAAATAAAAGTTGTATTTGTCAGGTTCATATGCCGGTATATACTTTATAGATGTCAGCTGTCCATACCTTCTTTTAAACGTATCTACAGTCTCATTGGTATTACAGATTTCACAGGTATTCCGTTAGTATATGTATTTTTCTTACAAAACATATAAGTTTAGTATGGTTAAGGTATTTAACATTCACTCAAACTGTGAAATACTTTTGCTTCTTGTATAGTGAAGCATGTTTTAATGCAGCTAATGTCTTTTGTGATATTCTTCAGTGTTTTCAGAGAGAGAGATTTTTCCTGTGCAAACTTACACTGTGCATATCTGTTAGGAACACATGTAAACCTCATCACATGGAAAGTCTGAGTCATGTTTTACTTCTAAACTGTAAGTTTGTTTCTCATACTAATATAGTCTTAACTCTGTTGTACAGACATGGAAGTAATGAAACCTTTAATTGATGAACAAAATTCAGATGGTATCTCGGATGAAGAGCATGAAAATAATTTCCTGCCAGTTGAGAAGCAATACCAGCTTGATAATGAAGAAGGCATTACGTGTGTATTACTCTTAACTATCAGCTTGTTAAAATTTGTTGCCTCCAGCTTGTTTCTCATGAGTAGCTCACTGAACTCTTAAGGGGTTTTCTTGCACCCATGGTACAGTTTCATGGTTATACAAGAGGACTTTGCATAGTTTGGCCAAAAAAACAGCCCCTTTTGCATAGATTCTGTGTTCTTTGGAAGCTAACGATGTACTGGCTGCAAAATATTCTAAGGTGTCCATTTATAAAGTGATTGAGCCACTCAAAATCCAATGACTAAAGAAGATTTTGACTGATTTTATTTTCTCATACAGAAAAGTCAGAAGACTTTGGAAATAATCTGTTGAAATTTAATTAAAGAAACTTGTAAAGGTTATTTTTTTTCATTTGATAAAGGTTTGGTTGTCAAACTTGTAATTTGCATTGGTAATTGCTTTGAATTTTACTGATTCTAAAATAACATTGACAAAACTCTGTAATTTTGACCTTGAGGGAAAAGGACAATAAAATTGCACAGAAAATAACCTTTCACAAGCTGGAGGAAGACACTGAAGATCAAACTTGTATGCTCTGTTTGAGGGAGCTCACATGTAAAGCTGAATAATAATATTATTTGAATGTGCTGGGTATTATTTAAAGTAGTTGAAGCTCACAATTTTACCTTTTATTTATAATGACAGAGGGTGTGGGGTTTTTTTGCCTTCTTTTCTTCCCTCCCCCAATCTCAGTGTACTCCTAATGTGACTTGTTATATTTTTATCTTCAGGTTTATACAAACACTTACACACCTCCTCAAGGGAAACATTGGAACTGGGCTTCTTGGTCTCCCACTTGCAATAAAGAATGCTGGCATTGTGGTAAATTCAAATATTTTTCATAGATTAGAAAAATTATCTAGAAAGATCTACAGATGCGTGTCTGTTCCTGCAAAACTTAAATCTTGTAATTTTTTTTTGTCACTACCAGCTTCAACAGCGTTGTGTTCTATTTTTCCTATTTAGTTTGGTGAAGTTAGTACTGAAGATTGAGATTTTTTTTTTTTGTTAAAGTCACTAATTCACCCTGAAGACTTTACAGCATATGTTGTATTTTTGCTTAACCAAAATGCTTTTCTTGTGAAAACAAATATTTTGTCAAAAAAAGAAAGATTTGATTCACTGGGATTCCTGTGATGTCTCATGGGAATTGTTATTATGGGGCTGTCTTATCTCTGTCCAGTCTTCTCTAGAGCCAGATGGTATGTCCTAGGATGCAGCATCAGCTTGTTAAATCAGTCTTGTGTTTCTGCAGAAACAGGGTATAGCGCAGCTTGTTTATACCAGGTAACAAACAATGCATTAAGGCAGGAAAAATATAATCAAGTGAAATTTTCACCTTATGACTAAATAATCCTGTAATTCTTTATTACATGATGTTCAGTTTAAGAATGAAAGTTACATGTGAAAAGCAGGTACCTTCTGTGAAAACTTTTGGTCAAACTTCTACTTTGAGAAAAAGTGATTTAATTTGAAAATTATAGATAACTTGTAATAGTAGAAGTTACCAGGATTGTGATTGTGGATTTTTTTTTTTTATACTGCACATCATCAAGTCTAGTAATGCAAGGGAAAGAAACTTATATTGTCATTGCCACTTTAAAGTGGTTCAAACCACTGTTTCGAATTGTGCAGTATATGCAGTCTTCTCTTTTGACAAATTTTTTGAGCAGATATCTTAATGAAGCTTTTAGAGGAATGAAGTTGTTCATGCCCATTTGGTATTTATCGCTTGATTGCCACTGAGTAGCCTTCTGTCAAGTAGTGAACTAAAAGTAAGGAATGCCATAAAACATCAGCAGTAAGTCCTCCTCTGAGAGGGTAAAAAAAAATCCACTTGCACAAAATTTTAAATTCTTAATTGATTTGCTACAGTGTGAAATTTTTGCATGTAATTATTTTCCCCCAGAATATTTTAATGAAAAATTCTCTATCTCTTGTGTTCTCTGCTTTTGTTTGTTTGTTTGTTTTTTCCATATAAGATTGGACCAATCAGCCTTGTGTTCATAGGAGTTGTATCTGTTCATTGTATGCACATCTTGGTACGTTGCAGCCACTGTCTATGTCAGAGGTAAATGTGGAATTACTCATTATGTTGCTGAGTTTAAGTATTATTTCTGCCTCCCTGCCTGCCTCCCTGCCTGCCTCCCTGCCTGCCTCCCTGCCTGCCTCCCTGCCTGCCTCCCTGCCTGCCGATTTTTGGCCTACGTACTGGCCTGATGCTGTAGCGATTTCTTCTATTCGGTTCAGAATCTTGTACTTGAAAGAAACAGCACTCAAATTCTTATTGTGCAACTATAAATGATAGCTGTGCTTTGTGCAACACAGGTTTAATATGTTGAAAAAATATTTGTTCTCTAATCATACACAAAATGAAGTCAGTTTAACTTGTGTTAATCAGTATCCCATTCCCTGTCTTTGATGGCAATTAATAGGTCTTACTGCAGTTTTAATTGCTTAGCTCCAGTCTGTTAGCCCTTTTTTATCGTCATAGCTTTCTTCATAGCTTCTGAATTTTCACAGCTTTGAAAAATGTCCAATTTATAAATAGCCAGTTTATAAGTACTTTATAGGAATAAAATAAAAACAGAATTGCTATTAATGTCTACCATGATTATCTGTGAGCTGTCTTTTGGACTGTGACAACTTGGTTCTTTGATACTGTAGTGCTGAAGAAATGTGTTAAAATGATGCTAGTGAGCAGATAAACACTAGATACTCCTCCATGTAAAATGTAAAATACTGGGGGGGAAGCAGGTAGTCACATTTGGCTGATAGAGTATTTTGATTAATAGTGACTTCTGTTAAATATTTTGATCTTACTGTCAGGCGTTAAAGAGGAGCAGTGGGAGGGTATTGTATTTAAAAAGTGCAATGAAGTTTTTGAACTGAATAGAAACACAAATTGTTTGTGTCCCTGTAGCTGGAAAAACTATCTTATCAGTTTAATGAGATATTGTAGTGTGAAGGGATTCTGTAATTCCTGAATTCTTCGATTTTTCCTCTGTAGTTTTGAATGGCCTTTGAAGATGTACATAAAACTAAGATCAGTGAAACAATTGTGATTGACTGCTTGTCCAGGAGAATCTGTTGAATCCCGTTGAAGTTCTCTGACTTTTAGGTTTAAGATTAATTTCTTAAACTGATACTATAAGAATATAATTTTGGATTAATTTATCAAGAAAATTTTTCTGTAAGAAACTGATTAAGTACTGTTGAATTAGGGGGGAAGCAGCATTGTGGTTCACATGCTTGTAGAGTGCTCAGTAGCCCTTCCAGGGGGAAAGAAGCCTAAACCCTGTTGATAAAATTCAGCAGCCACTGAATGGTGCCACAGGTGATTACTTACTATAATCCTGGGAGGCCACCAGGGTTTTCAAGGTAGGATCTAGGCCCTCATAGTTTCTAGTAACTGTTCTTTCTTCACTCTTTGATTTCAGGATGAAAAAATCCTCACTGGGGTATAGTGATACAGTTAGTTATGCCATGGAAGTGGGGCCCCTGACTGCTCTTCAGAAACGAGCTTCTTGGGGACGGTAAGTTTGCATTAGAATTTAATTTAATAATTTCGGTATTAAGAATTAATGTCTACACTTGGAACAGTTAGGAGATTTCCTTTTTACTAAGATATTACCTGCTTTAAGAGTGTGTTCTTCATGCTGGAAATATTTTAATGCGATGCTATTTGTTATTTCATGCAGCCAACTAGTAGTGGTGACATGGGACGATTGAGGAGTGTCTTTCTCTGTTAGACATTTCAATTTTCAGATCTACGAGAGCTGTGAAAAATTCTGTTTAGTAGTATAGGAAGAGATGTGGTGTAACCAGAAATTGATTCTGTATTGTCTAATGTAGTGAACTAATTAAAGTTTTCATTCTCTTTTACTGTAAACACATTTATCTGTATCAGAGTTCCCTCTTTAAGCAGGTTGACACTGTGAATGTTAATTACTGCAATATATTTATTATGAAAGGAAGAAAGTAATTCTGTGATTCCTGTTTAAATGTTTTATACAAATACTGGAGAAATATTTACTATATTTTGCAATAATGGCATGCAGATATTAATAGCTTGTCTCTTTTAAATAATTTATCCCTCTTTTAAAAACTTTTTTCCTCTTTTAAAAAAGATCATTATTTTTTCTTTGCCATTTGTTGCTGTATAGCTATTTATTGAGTTTATGTTATGACTACACAGTAGTGAAACTCAAAAACTCAGCCATGTTCAGTGCTGATTTAAAGTGTGTTTTTTCCTTACTTGAGGAATAATTTTTTTTGGTCCTGTTGTTTTCAAGGATGCAGCATCTTGCATGATGTGTTTTGGCTATTACTTTGTTTTGAATTAAAAAAAAAAAAAGTGAGCTAGTCTTTTGAAATCTTTTGTGATGACTTCATAGGAATGGAGTAGAACTCAGTTAGAGGGAAACCTGATTTGTAGTGAAATATAATGACAATTCTGTAATGCACCTAAAAGTTTCAAGCAGCAAATGGCAATTTGATTTCCAGAGACAGTGCTGCAGTAAATCCATTCTCTGGGGCACATCTCCACTGTATGCCTGACTGTAGCAAGTTTCATTACAGCATATCTTCAGGCCACCATTCTGCATAAGATTTTTCAAAACCAATCTGAACCATAATTTAGAGTGGTTTTTAAATGAGATACAGTGTCTGAATGTTTATTTGGATACATCTATAACACTTAGTAAGATGTGAAAATGTTTGTAATCTTGAATTGATGAAACTTCTATTGCTTAGACTATACGAGACATTTAGTCTCTGGTCTTGGTGGAAAACTGCTGTGTTAGGAGCTAATGGACACCAGCAGAATTTACAGAATCACAGAACAGTTTGGGTTGGAAGGGACCTTAAAGGTCATCTAGTTCCAACCCCCCTGCCATGGGCAGGGACACCTTCCACTAGCCCAGGTTGCCCAAAGCCCCGTCCAACCTGGCCTTGAACACTGCCAGGGAGGGGGCAGCCACAGCTTCTCTGGGCAACCTGTGCCAGTGTCTCACCACCCTCACAGTGAAGAATTTCTTCCTTACATCTAATCTAAATCTACCGTTCTTCAGTTTAAAACCATTACCCCTCATCCTATCACTACACTCCCTTATAAAAAGTTATGTGCATAGAATATATATGTCTGTTGTTTATATTTGGACCACATTGTTAAGACTTTGAGTTTGAGTACCTTTTTGTTTTTTTAATTGAGAAATTTTGATACCTACTCAAATTTACCTTAAAAAGCAAACACATACAAAACTAAACTATTTTGCCATAAGAACCTGCTTTGAAGTGCTCATGAGATTAATGTGATGTTTGAATCTAGCCTTTTTGAGTACTGTAAAAAGGAGCAATAATTGCATGTTAGGTAGAAATGGGTAATTGTTTGGATCCTAAGTATAATATATGGTTGTTTTTTCTTCCTCAGGTATATTGTGGACTTTTTCCTAGTGATAACACAGCTGGGATTTTGTAGTGTTTATGTTGTGTTCTTGGCAGAAAATGTGAAACAAGTAAGTAGTGTTACTGTATGGAAACAGTTATGATTTTAGATTAATTTTTCTTCATTTTTATTTCCTGTCGTAAAGTCCAACAGAACTGTTTGTAAAATGTGAAGTTGAGAGAGGCACAGAATGGGTTCTAGCACAATTTCCACAAAAAAGCTTTTGGTAAAAAGGAGCAATGTGCAAGATGAACCAAATTCAGAACTTGTGCAAGTGTTTATGGCTTCATTACCCTCTGATTTATTTGTTGAATTTAGAAATTAATGGTGGAAATGATAGAATATAAGGCTGAAACTGGTCTAGGAACCAGTTGTCCCTGATTTTTTTTTTTTTTTTTTTTTTTTTTTTTCCCACAGGCCTTCTACAGATCCTTTCCCCCCTGCCCCCTCCTGGGCATATTTTATTCTTTTCATGTCACTGGAATCTTTCTTTGGTTCTTGTTTAGTCCTTTCCATTTTTTAGAATGGTCTCATCTGCCACAGAATCCATCGTATCTAAACTAGTCTGGATTTTTATTCTTAGAAGTGCCTGACATTGAAATTTCTGCAGCCTCCTCAGTAGCCAGTTCCAATGCTTTCTTATCTGTTAGACAGCTGCTTCTTTGTGGAAACATAAAATTTGTTATTGGTGTTTTAAGTCCTTTATTTCATGTTCTAGCTAGAAGTAATTTATTCTTTTCTATTTGTGGATACTTTTAATATTTTTGAATATTGTTATCATTTCTCCTCTCTAATACATATTAGATAGATATTAGATAGAGGGTAGCCATGATAGAATATAGTAATTGTTCTTGCTTTTCTGTAAATGCCCTGCAGTTGGTTGCATCTCTCTTTTTTTTTTTTTTTTCCCAAGTTTTATCCCTGAAGTTGGTTATGCTACTTTAATTGAGGTTTTGCTTGTGATCAATAGAGCAGAAAGGTTATTTCACAGATTTTACAGATCATATTCCAGACTTGACACTTCAGTCTAAGGGTCAGTTTGCAGGAGCATGTCACTGCTAACTCATGACTGACTTCTGATCCACTGTATCTCTCATCCTTTACTTCAGAGCTGCATTCTAGGCAATTCTGGTCTTCTTTCTGTAGGGTGTTTTTTACTTACCTATAAAATAATGTATTTTTCCTTACTGAATTAACAGTTCTCAAGGTTGAATTTTTATTCTGTTCTTCAATATTCTTTCACTTTCCACCTGGAACAGATGTTTAAACCTTGCTTACTATATCATCTGTGTTATTAATGAAAATATTAAATAGCACTGCTCATGTAGCATTTCATGTTTTACTGTAAGTACTAAACATATATAATATGTAGTAGTAAATGTATTCAAATGCATTTCAAGATGTTACAGATTTTTAAATAGATTGGATATTAATTATTAGAAAAGTACTGTGATTCATATTAAGGATATCTAAAAATCAAATGTTTTGTCATGCCATATTTATGAAAAAGTCAGTTAAAAATTGTGAATCAATCCCCACAACCATAAATGCCTATGCACCTCTCAAGCAACTCCCAAACCTTTCAAAAAACCCCAACTATTCCTTTTCTCTCCCGCAACCATCCATCACTGAGAAAAGCAAACAAAACCATACCTATCACTTTCATGACAGCTGCTCCTGCTTTCATTCATGTTTTTTTGTCTCTCATTCTACAGACCTAAGCTTTTCTATTTCTCATTGGTGGAGATTTTTCTGTTGATGGGGTCCTTGATGTCTCTTGGTCCTTCTTCTTTGCACACTCAGTAGTTTCAGTCAGCAGTTTGTGTATCTGAGCAGGTGGTCCAGGGGAGGTCAGCCAGCACAGATTGGATGCTCAAACAGGAGCCACAGGCACTTTGAGCTTGTGGTGCTCTCTCCTCCATGAGCTTATTAAGATTCCAGGACTCTACCAATGTACTGTGTTGAGTGTTCTGCTCATAAGATTATGGTTAGTCACTTGACATAAAGCTAATGAGGTTGAATCTGGGCCTGTGTCTAAACATTTGTGCTTCTGTAATTAGTGAAGTGGGTGAGGAAGAAGATATGGCAGGTTACTGAGCTTTAGTCATCCATATGGACTCTTATTCTACCCAAAAGGTCGAATAAAGGTGTCTTCACATAGCTTAATTTAATTAGGAATAAGAGCGTCATCTTGGGTAGTTAGTATATAGAATATAGTACATTGTTTTCCTCCCCTTGTATATAAGTATTTATATTGTGTCTAAAAAGTATTCCTAGTTCTACAGATGAAGATCCTGTCAAGATGAGGTGAATTTGTGTATTTGGAAGCTGGATACACCGTAATTTGCATCTTGGAAGAGAAGAAAACCCCCCAACCTTAAAAACTGCAGTCCTATTGTCACAATCTATCTCAATATGTAAAAATCATATTTTGTATCTGCTGTCCTTTTGCTGGCCTTCTGAAGTGGGGATTTTTATTGCATCCTTCGTAATGTAAGTTTGTCCTGTCAGATTAAAACCCTTCCTATCAAATACGTATCTGAACAACCAGTTGCTAGATATGTATTTTGACCTTAAGCAAAAGGTGAGACTGAACATTTATTGACCTTGGCTTTTGTAGATTTTGAAAAAAACTCTGAAACATCTTCAGGAAATTTGTTACTGCTTTCTTGAAGAAGGATTGAAAGATCTTACAGGAAAGCAGCTGCTGCACAAGCAGTAGCTGCAGAGACCCATGATGTGCCCTGTGAACGAGTTAGTCATCTGCAATTCGAAGTCCCACGTGTAGTTGTTTCACATTGCCTTGTGCTCTTTCCTCTGGGAGGGAGAAGGCTTGTGTTTTTTTCTGGCAACTTTTTGTTGCAGAAATCTGTCCTGTAGAGGGCACCAAAGAACACAAATTGGTATTGCTTTACATCTCTGATTGGGGTAGTGGAAGGGTGAGCAAAGTGAGCAGAGGGAATGGGAGGATGGGGAACTCAGTACAGGAAAGATATAGTAAAAATGTTACTAATAGCTCTCCTTGACCAATACCTTTGCATTATGCTCCATACTCTTACTGGTTTTGTGTGTTGGTGTGTGTAAAGTGGGAAACTTCACACAATCCTTTCTTTGATATTCATAGTTAAAACTAGTACCAAACCAAATTTAGCAGTTTCTTCCTTCACCTTATTTACTGTTTCACAGAACAAAAAAGAAACAAAGCATTTTAGGTGGTTCTGGAATGTGAATTGAGTATTTATCAGTCTGCATAATTTTGAGGTGAATATCTAGTTAGACACAGAGTGGTACATGTGAGTCTTAAGTATTTATTTAATCTTTTGAATCATGTGAAATATTTGATATACCCTTTTCACTAATGGATGTACAATATAGCTTCTGTGCTAAATTTTCTCTTATTACTGTCTGTGGGATTTCAGCAATGTTGGCTGCATTACATTACAGTTTTCCCAATGCTTTGTGCTAACAAGACCCTATTTCGAGGTATATCAAATCTCAGATGAAGCCTTTCCTAAGGAAGAGCTTTTCCTGGGGCACAAAAGAAGTGCAGATTGGTGGAGAGAGTTCTGGTTAAGTCTGGCAGCATGCAAATATGTGGCTTACAGGTGAAGGTGTATAGAATTAGAGAAGAATGGTAAAACTGGAACAAGAGCTGGTGGTTGACTGGAGGAAGACTGGAGCAGGAACACATTGGGATAGAAAAAAAGTATCTGTGCCCAAAAGAGCACAGTGGTCCACCTTCATGCCATAGTTACTTTGCTTTTCTTGCTTGAGCAACAGAAGACCTTAAGTCCAGAGCCTTGGCGTTCATCAACTTGCTTGTGAATATTTGATGAGTTCTCTGGAAAAATGTTCTTTTCTCATTATTTGATGATAAAGCTAAAAAAGTCCACACAAGACCTTATTGCATGGGAACACTTTATTAGATCTTTAGAACTCTGAAGATGACCCATCAGTGGGATGCTACATAATGGAGATTTGACACTCCCCTACCCCCAGTTTTTGTAAAATGGAAAGAAGAAAAAAAACATTAGGAAATTGTATTTGGACATAAACTTAGAAGTGAGAAAAATGTGTAGTTTGAAAAGTTGAGTACTGAGTAATAATGAAATATCAGAACTAAATGAACTGTGAAACATTTCTTTGGCCTTTTCATGCCAAATTGCAGGATTAAAATATAACCTTTATCTGCCTGATAACATACTGGGTTTGTGCCAGATCTGGCCTTGCCTGTTGTACTGGCTGTTACTACACCTTGAATAAGGAAGGAATTAGAAGGAGCCAGTGACCTCAGAGACCTACTCTTTTGATCCTACTACATGTTGAAAAGTCCGTAGACTGTGTGACAGAAAGAACGAGTTTTGCAGTACAGGCAAGAAAACAGCGGTCTCGGTCAAAAGATTAAAGAAACAGAATTATTTCTTGCTTCTGTGATAGCTCTTGTAAGAAGTGTGTTCATCAGTTAAACTGAATTTTCTGCAGTCTCTAGTTGTGCATTATTAATTTTCTATATGCCTGACATAAGGAATCTGATCAGATTTGCACGAGTGTTTGATCTTCCTGGATGCAGATGAAGTTGGTGGTGGATGGTGTGCTTGAGCGATGTAAATGAGACATTAGGTGAAGCAATCCTGTAAAGAAAGCTGTTTCAGACATCACGCTGTCTCATAAGGTAATGCTTGAGTAATTGAAGTGACTTCTGATGGAAGTCACTTTGTGATTGGGGACTTCACTAGCCTTTGTAGTCACTATGTATGCCTAGTGCCTTTAGTGGCTGTGTATTTCCTTTCTAAAACCATAGTGATATTTTCTCATGTGGTTTAGGGAAATGTTTGTGGAGTTTCCAGGTACAGTCATGATAAGCATAGAACAGAATGCAGATAATGTGTGTTGAGATTGGAAGTTGAACAATACTCACTGGGCTCTGTGACATATACCAATGAATATGTGTGTATGCATTTTTCAAGAATAGATTGAATGGATAAGTGAAATGGATAAGTGAATTGAATGGTTAAGTGAAAAGATTTGTCTAACTTGTCTGATATTCTGATGATATTTCAGATTGTGTTG